ACGAAGACATGGCAGATATGGGCGACAATTGTGTCATCGGGTTGTGGTCTTCGGGCAGTCCGTCCACTAGTGTCACGGCTGGCGATGGTTTGCCTAAAGACGTCAAATCGGGTGATAACCAGTTGGACGACTGCAACCGTTTGGCCACCTCTTGGAACCCATTGCGAGATAATAGGAGACGACTCGGGAATAAAGTTTTCATAATTTTTGTACTGATTTTTGAATTTAAATTTAAATAATAATTAAATGAATTAAAAGTCAAATGAATGACAAAAAGCACTGAAAAGTAGTTTATTATTGTTTTACGCGAACACAAAGTTAGGGATCATTTCATCACTGCTTTTATGTTATCAACACTTTTATTACACTTTCATTTGCACTCAAACCTCAAGAATATTCTTCACGTTTTCTCTCAACTAATATATGAAGAAATAGTGACCAAAAATTGTATTACTATTTAAAACTATTTAAACGTGAAGAACATGTGCTCTCTTAGAGATCGGACCACATCTATGAGTATGTGATAACAAATGCTTACTATTAATAACTGTTAATAACTGTTAACAGTAATTAATTTTGATAAATGATTGAGTAATTGAGTTGCAATTCAATCAGTGTTTTTGTCGCCAGTCATCAATATTTTCATAAATGATTTTTAATAAAGTTATTATACAAATAAATTATTTCATAACTACAAACATAAGCGCTATATTTAATCAAATGTGTATTAATATAGCATTTATGATAATCGTTAAACACATTCAAAGTAATTCATTGGCCATTCAAAAGAAACAGTGGCTAAAAATAAATAATTTGTTTAAATAATAATAATATAAATGTTACACTTGTTTGGGAACTTTATTGGACTAAAAATATAAATAGTACAAATTATTACTATTAACAATAGATTAATAATGTACATTAGCCAACTTTCAGTACTCACTTAACATGTAAGTCAAGTCTATATTCAGTTTTCGTGAGATAAAAATATAGTTTGGATTAAACCAAAAAAAATGATATTTACTTAAACCTTAAAGTAAACCATTCATATCACTAATCACTTGAAATATTTCCAAAATAACAGTTTTTATATTATTTGAATATTTCTCTATTTTTATATCAAACCTAATTTGGTTTAAAAATGATATTTACTTAAACCTTAAAGTAAACCATTCATATCACTAATCACTTGAAATATTTCCAAAATAACAGTTTTTATATTATTTGAATATTTATTGTAATTTACAATAAATTTATAATAGGGTTAAATAAATATTAGGCATAATTCATAGGAATTTTTAAACTCATAGGAAAATATACATTTATATTTTCAAGTGTTTTGAGTGTTTTTCTCGCTATAGTTAAGAATTAGGAAAGAATCGAAATTTTTGTTTCAGACTTATTCCTAATTATTCTTTGTGTTTATGTGAAGATTGTATTGAATAATAAAGTAATCATTTATAAAATGCATTTAACATTCAAATATTGTATAACTTCATCTCAAAACAAAATAATTAAAAGAAATGTTTGGTTTTTGATGTATTTTTTTGCCGCAAATGCGCAAAACATTTGTATTGATTTTTTAAAAACACAAAATTCTTTGCAACGAGTGATACAATTGAATGAGACATGAGTTCACATAATGGAGAATATCTGTTCAATTCTTAAGCCATTGGTTGCGGTTTTAACATTGAATTAAAATGTTTACCGAACCGTCTTATTTTACATCCGAGGGTGTGTTGAATATTGGGGTCAACACAACGACCGAACCCCTGAAAGACTGTGTGGAAGTGCCCGCACATCACCTGCTGTTCCAGATCGCCAATATATGTTTCGTCTTATCCTATGCCATACCTAATGGCAAATATTGTATTTTGTTTATGCATTCAATGCTGGCGTTCGGCTGTCTATTGGCGGCCGTCTGGTCGTGGAGTTTTATATGTGGTTCAGGAATGATTGGCTGGTATTTCACGTTTATGTTGGTTAATATTGTCCAAACCTTTTACCTCCTCTACACTATGCGTCAAATCAAGTTCCCTAAAGAGCTCGAAGACATTTACCAGACATTATTCGAGCCAATCATGATATCGAGGGCTCTCTTCAAAAAGCTGGCATCGATTGGACAGATAATGATATTACACGCGGGAGAGGCATATGCTATGGAAAACCTAACCCGAACCGATCGGTTGGGACTATTAATCAGCGGAAAGTAAGCATTTAGTAAAATATTCTGTAAACATCACCAAAAAAATGTGACACCAATTCTTGTTGTTTGGATCAGAGTTAACGTTATTTCGGGCAATCATTTCCTTCATTGCATTGAAAGCAAACAATTCTTAGATTCGCCGGAATTTGAAAGCAGTAAATCGGGAACTGAAGAGAAATTCAAAGTGTCTCTCATCGCCGCCACTTCCTGTCGATACATCTTCTGGCAAAGACAATCACTCGAATACCTTCTTATTAAACAACAATTCTTGGCTAATGTCTTAAGTCTAATACTATCCCGCGATATAACCAATAAACTCTATGCTATGAACGAAAAGGTTAACACAATTCTTACCGTTTATATAATAGAGAACATTATAGTTAACTTCAATTCAAAAACTGTCATTCAATGAACAGATCGTCGCCGATAAGGGCTCTCAACTGGACATCCGTTTGCCAATTATAATCACCTCATTGTGTAATTCAGGCTCAAGTGTCGGATCGCACGAACAAAGAGGAGAATCGCCGACCACTTCCAGAATGCCGTTTCGCGAACGAATCGCTTCACCCGTTATGTTCTTTAAAGGCGCCCGAAGTAAAAGTTTGCAGACAAACAGTTTAGGACTGGCGGTCAACACTTCCCCGCGAATGATATCACGACCGCCCAAACTATCACCAAAAAAAGATTTCATTGATTTAAAACATATTAGCGAAGAGATTAATAGTGATCTCTAAATACATAGACATAACACCCACTCATTCACCAAAGAACAGAATGACTGCTAAATGGTCTCATTTTTCATAACTTTTTTCCATCAAATAATTGACAGCAAATCTGATGATTTGTCTTCTCATACGACACATACAACTCATAAACATTAACTATTGACGACTCTATTTGTATTATTTGTGATTACCGTCCGATGTTTAGTCTGTTTGAGATAATGTCAAAACTGATTGAGTTTCATAAACTCAAGCATTTTATGTAAATAAGATATATTGTTATATGAATAAAATTATTTACTTATTTGTTTACATATAACATGTGAATCAAATTAATTCAATCATTTGTCACATCGATAATGGGTTGGACTAAAGCCAAGCTATAATTATACTTTGGCTAATTCTAATCAAACACGTGATCATTGCGTTTATGTCATAAGCAATTGGTTAAAAGTTACAAAGAAATAATTGTGTGATTTTGTAATTTTTCTTTTATTATACAACAATATTATTCACAAGTTATCATTAAAACATTCAAATTAAATACTTACTAACTTATGGCATAGTAAATTGTGCATTAATTTATGTAATAATAGCATTTCAACTATAATTTCAAACTTAAAATTTTTGACTTTCCATTACATTTTATGTTGTGGAAAGCAAAGTATACTAACGTTATATAACTAATACCCTTTTAAACATGAAATATTATGCAATTTAAATCTAAAGTCTGAAGCTGTGGAGGTAAAAGGTTTGGACAATATTAACCAACATAAACGTGAAATACCAGCCAATCATTCCTGAACCACATATAAA